ATGCATCAGAATAGCTATCTTTTTTCGGGTCCTCATTTGCTTGATCATTTTTTTTCTTCTTTCCCTTACCTAAGAAACTCGACGTGAGGTGCTAAAGCAACTAACCCTACAACTCTTCATAAATTTATGATAACTTATGAAAATTTGGTTTTAATTCAAAACTGTCATACAAATGACGTTAAAACAGCTTTAAAAAAATAAATAATGTCAGATAGAAAGTTCAACGTCAAGATTCTAAAATCTTGGAGAATCAGAAATAATTTATTAATTAATTTAAATTTCCTTTTCAAAGGAGATTAAAAAAAACAATAACAATCTGATTCCTTTAACCAGAAAGGAACTCGAAAATTTTTTTTTGGTTGCTTAGCAACGAGAAGCACTATGTTTTCCCACCTTGTTTGATTAATTTGTCTAATTTTATTATACTTTCGATGCACTTTATACTTTTTTGATATATTGACAATTTTGTCATCATGATTTTATAATTAGAAATAAAAAATGTTCAAGATTTACTTAATTTTAATTTTTTTTTATTTTTAATTTCCAAGCTATTTGGAAAGATTTTCTTTTTCAAAATAATCAAATATTTACTTTATTTCGCTTCATTGGTTTATACTCAATATTTTCTTTTCTTCTTCCAAATAATTTTATGCATCGAAAATTACTGAATCATCCAAACCAGGTTTATATTCATATGTTGTTCTTACATGTTTCAATCACAGTTTTTGAATTCAATAAACTTAATTTATTAGGAAAAAATTTATAAAAACTTTTATCCACTAAAAAAAATAATAAATAAATAAATAAATAAATTAATCTTTCAAAAACGGATGTATATTAGAAATTTAGTGTTTTGTATAAAAATCACTTCCAAAATATATTTTTTTGTGGGCATAAACATGTTGTTTGCCACATTTGCAAGTATATTTCGTATATTTTATTTTGCATTCGCTAATTTTACAGACTTTGTAAAATGTTTTACCTTTTAGGCGGTAATTATAAATTAGCTCCCTTCATTAGAAAACAGTTTTTGTAAACTCATTATTAGGCTATTACTAAATCTCACAGTATACGTAATTATCTACAATTGAATTTCAGTATTTTTTATAAACGTTATGTTTTTTAGGACCGCCAAACTTTACATAATCAGGAATATTACAATAATCAAATTTTCTCATAAAATATTTATAAGTTAAAACTCTTTTTAAAGTACACAGAACCTAAACATTTAAATAACATTTCATCCGCTTCAACTAAAAAATATAGTTCAAATTTTCGTTCTTACTTTTTTTAAGAAAGCGATTTTTGATGAGTATCTCTTTCTTTAAAATTGTTTTAAGTTTTTCCTATCATAAGAATATTTTTATTCTTCTGAATCATAACTAATTTTTTAAAATTTATTTAAATATTTTAAGATCAGCTAAATTTCCAGAAATAGATTCACACACACACACATTTATTAGAAAAAAAAGTTATTATCTAAAGACCAAATCTTTCAACTCCCTAAGAAGCTTAAAAGAAACTTTTATAACGCCAATTCTCGGTAAAATCTAACTGCTTCCTAGAATTCTGACGGCACAGTGGTTTAATGTTTTTTTTTTTTTTTCAATCTGATGACGCTTTTGCTAAGGAGTATTGATTAAAATGCGAAGGTATATTTTCTGATGTCTCGTTTAATTCTTTTATTAATATCTCATTATTGAATAAAACTTAGATATTTGTTATGAGCTATAATGAACAAATTAAAGTAACTAAGTCGCAAGAAAGAAACATCTTAATTTAAAAATATTCAATATAAACCAAATACTATTAATTTGTTTATCAGAAGGAAAAATCTAGAAACTAAGTATAATCATATGAGGTTTGCGAAATACGATTTAGACAAATTTAAAATGCTAAAATATATTACTTCACTGACTAAAATTAGACTAAGACTAATCTTTTTCATCTATTCAACTAATAAATTCTCTAGAGTAGCCTAACCATTTTGCTAACAATTTATTGCAATTTGGCTTATTAATTTTTCATTTTTATATGTTTTAGACTAATACTAAATTAGTTCTTTTTCATAATAAGTTGCTTTAATTTGTTCACCGTTTAAATCTTTAATTCTATAAGTTCTTGGATCTGTTTACAAAACTTCAGATACTATAAAAGAAATTTATGTAAACGTTGGATGATAACTTCTCATGAAAATTTCTTTGCATTTTGCAATTCTGACTGTATCACTCACATTGACTGTTTTATTATCTTTCCAACAAATAAAGTTACATATTTTTTTATTATGAAGCAAAAAGTCTTTGTTACTTTTTAAGATCATTGTAATTTTATAATAATACTGACTTATATAAATAATCGGTGCCTTTTCTTTCTTCAACGAATGAAAAATTCGTCAATTGAATGTTGATCTTTTACAATCATCAAATATTACTAACTTCATTTAGGAAATCCTCTTCAATAAAACCATCGAGGTTGTAAGAAAACACAACTTAATTTTTTTTAAATTTTTTTAAATTCTTTAAAAAAATCTTCTTACCATTTTCTTAATATCTTCTAATTCTGAATCTTCAAATTGAGTAGATTTTTGAAGTTATACTTCTTTTCCGACTTCCAACAAGGTTGTGTTAAACGT